GGAGGACGTGGAGGCGAAGGGCCAGGAGGATGCACGAGGAGGATCGGGGAAAGGATGTATACGACGACTTCGTTGTCCCTGCCTCCTGCTCATCCTCCCCCCCTCCTCCCTGGAGGAGGAGGTGGATTTGGGGACTCTCAGATTCTAGGTCGGCCCCGCGCGCGTCCGCGTACGTAGCACCCCGCAGATGCGGATAAGAGCGAGGGGGCGGTGGGACGCCGGCAGTTTGCGAGACTCTGGAGAAGCCCGCCGCAGGCGATGCGGATGCCCTTGTCCTTGTTCTCCTCCTCCTCTTCCTCCTCCTCCTCCTTCTCCTCCTCCTCCTCCTCCTTCTCTCCGTCCTCCTCCTCTTCCTCCTGCATCTCCCCATGTCCCGCCTCTCTCCTCGCCCTTCCTGCCCCCCTCCCTCCTTCCCTACCTTACCTCCTTCCCTCCCTCCCTCGTCGTTCCCCCCTCGTCCGAGGAGGGCGGCGACCCGCGCCGCGCGCGCGCGGACGGCGCCCGGCGCCAGGACCTCGTTCCACCGCGCGAGAGACGGCGGCCGGCCGATCAAACGAGCGCGCGGGGGCGCGGTTGCTAGAAAGGGGGAGGGGGAGGAGGATCAGTATCGTTTAACCGACCCCTATCCCCATCCCCATCCAGACCCCCACCATCTCAGCACCCCAGTTAGGGATATACCCCTCGAGGCCCGAAGGAGCCTGCCCGAATCCCCATATGGTGGGGTGAAACGGCCAGTTGGACCAAGGCCACGCCCATGGGGATATGGGTCGGTCAAGCAATGCTCAGAGGAGGAAGTGGAGGTGGAGGAGGAGGAGGAGGAGGAGGAGGACGACGACGGAGCAGCAGGAAGAGGGGTCGTGGAGCAGAGCGGCGGCGGCAGGAGGAGGGAGCAGGAGGCCTAGCAGGAGCAAGAACGACTTGGCATTTCCGCGTCTGACCGATTGATTCTACAAGCGTGTGGAGGATGTAAGTTTGTCTCTGCTTGTTTGCGGATGCGTGTCTGTGCGTAGGTCTGCGTATGTGTATGTCTGTGTGTATATGTGTGTGTGTGTGTGTGTGTGTGTGTGTGTGTGTGTGTGTGTGTGTGTGTGTGTGTGTGTGTGTGTGTGTGTGTTGCTCTCTCTCTCTCTCTGTGTCTGTGGCTGTGTGTGCGTGTGTCTATGTGCCTATGTCTGTGGGGATGTGTTGGGTGTGTCTCTCTTCGCACTGGGTGGAGCATGGCTGGCGCCGCTCTGTCTAGCCAGGTGGCCCTTCGCCTCCCAGACACGCCGACTCGACCTGCTGCATGGATGTTGCAATAGGGTGTCCGAGAATTGGTAGGGAATGGGAGGGAGAGGGAGACGAGGGAGAGGGAGCGGGACAGAGGGGCAGAGGGACGAGGGAGAGAGAGGGAGACGAGGGAGAGGGAGAACGGGAGAGGAAGGGAGGGAGAGAGAGGGAGACGAGAGAGAGGGAGACGAGACAGGGGGGGAGAGAGAGAGAGAGAGAGAGAGAGACAGAGGGAGAGAGAGAGAGAGAGAGAGAGAGAGAGGGAGACGAGACAGAGGGAGGAGGGGAGGGAGAGGGAGGGGGGGGGATAGGCATAGGGAGGGGGACACATCGTCCTGGAATCGGCGATACATCGCCGATATATCGGCGATAGGCCTCCGACAGCGAATCCGCACTTTCCTGGGCGGGTTGCGGCTGTTGGGCCCCTATCGGCTATCAGTGGGCGATTGGGGGTCGATGCATCCCCCCCTATGCCTATCCCCCCCCATCGTTGCCCCTGATCCTCCACGAGCCCAGAGATCCGGCGCTCCAGCAAGGTGGGAGCGGCGGGTTCGTGGCCGTTCTCGGCATCCGGGGGCCCTCGCCGGGCCGCGGGACCGTCAAACAAGAATTCCTAAGGATTCCTAAGGATTCCTGGGGCTGTACTTTTGTCCCAGACCCCCCTGGGGCGTCAAGATGCTCTCTTTTGATCCCACTAGAAGCCTATCAGCAAAAGCTGATAGGTAAAAACTCGGGACGGAAACCTGCCCCACGCATCGAAAGAACTGGAGCGGCCAGATGTCTGGAGCGTGCCTCGCCCTGCCCCGCGCTCCGGGCGTCGCACTTTTGGCTCTCTCACAGCGGGCGTTGCGGGTCGCGGGGTGGGTCGCAGGTGGGTCGCGGCTGGGTCGCGGGGGGGGCTGGCTCGCGGCTGGGTCGCGGGGTGGGTCGCGGGGTGGGTCGCGGGGTGGGTCGCGGGTGGGTCGCGGGTGGGGCGCGGGTGGGACGACGACAACAACAAACAACAACAACAGCGACAACATCTACACCACCACCACCAACAACAACAACAGCAGCAACAGCAACAACACCAACAACCGCAACAACCGCAACAACAACAACAACAACAACAACAACAACAACAACAACAACAACAACAACATTAACAACAGCATTAACAACAACGCAACAAGCAGAATTCTAACCACGAGTTCTTTATTCAGACACGCACCCAGGGACAATGAATGACCGT